GCGGGGTGTGAGGGAGGGAGGAGGGGATTCCAGTGCTGGAGGCAGGAGTGGGCGAGCCGAGCTAGCTGTCTCAGGACGGGCCACACAGGACAGAAGAGCAGTGTAGGGTGCTGCCTCTCCCTGCCCCGAGTCCAGATTCCCAAGGCCTTCCAGACGAAGCAAATTTACTCAATTCTTGTCTTCCTGCCAACACTCCTGAGTACATCCGGGGTCACCCTAAGTTGAGGACACTCCCCACAACCCTCTCCATGCAGAGTTGACCTCTGTCCTCACTTCTGGTCTCAGTATAGGCCGGCTCCCCTATGGATTGCTGTTCCGTTGACCATGGTCCCTTGTGGGTGGTGACCACGTGGTGTCTCCCCTGACCTGAGAAGGCATGAACTCCACAAGGAGCTCTCCCTGCCTCGGCTCTTGGATGAGCGCAGTGCCTGCATCATGTCTTCCTCGGCGTCCGCTGAGCGGCTGTGAGCTGTCCCCAGGATCAGCCGGCTCGGATCATCCCGGGACTCGGCCCTTGAGCCCTGACGAGGCAGCCATCCCGGAGTGAGCCTCTGAGGTTTGATAGGAGTAGGCAGGCCACGGGGGACACGGGAGGGGTTGCCCAGCTGCTAACAGCAGTGGCTTCTGAGCCTGCTGGGAGGCCTTGGTCAGTGCTGCCCCTGCTGGCTGCCCCTGCTGTGCCCTGCTTTCATCAGCCTCAGCCCATGGGGATCTGTGCCCTTTCGGTGGGTCTCCCTGCACTCTGGGGCCAGAAGGTCACAGGCTAGCCTGGCACAGCGGATGCTGGACACGCAGTGGCTAGCTCTGCCCTTGGCTTTGACCTACCGCCAGCAGTACTAGCAAGCAGGACCCTTGAGGATGCCACAGGGGAACTGTTTCTGCCAGCTCAGGGCGTCCTTTGGTCGACCCACACAGCATGGAGGGCTGCAGCTGTGAGGCTCTGACAGCTGCTTGCTCTCCCGCCATCTGCAACGCCGGGCTGGTTCAGTAGCTGGGGCTGCTGTGACAACTGGCAGTGATGGTTCTAGAATCCTAGGAGGGCTCCAGGGCTGGCCATGGCGAGCTCTGCCCTCCCATAGGGGACCCCGGCTGGAGGACACAGTGACTTGCCTGTGCACACACGGTGGCCGCTGAGTTGACTTTCCCACATCTGCTCCTGAGCTGAAGCTGACTTCCTGGCGGAAGTCGGTGGATTCCCGAGGGAAGTGCCATCTGGCTGCCACGTGCTCCAGGCTGCTGGCTCCAGCGACTCATTGTGCCACCTGGAGATGCCGGGTCAGGCCTTGGCCCCAGCTCTGTGTTTCTCACGCTGGTAGTCCCTGGTGGGCTGTGACCAACAGGATGAGAAACCGCAGGAGCGCAGCATGCGAGGGGGTGGGGGTGGGTGGCAGGGAGCGAGGGGTGGGCCTCGCCATGGTGTGGCAGGTCCACCCGCAGCAGCCCTCCAGGCCCTGGGATTCTAGAAACATCATTGCCATCAGAGTCCCCACCTGACAGAAGGGGAAACTGAGTCAGGCATGCGGGGTGGCCTGAGGCTATGCCCTGTGCTGGATGTGCTGGGTGCCCCATGCAGCCCCAGGTCCTGGGACCTGCTGCATCTCCTAGCCTTTGCTTAGCTGGCCCTGCCCCCTTAGGGACCAGGAGCTGGCCCAGGCTCGCTTCTCCACCTACAGGCAGCCTCTCTCACCTCCCTGTGCACTACTTCCTCTGTTCCTCTGTAGGCTCAGGGTCCTGTGGCACGGGAAAAGGGAGAATTTTCCTAACAGGAAAGCAACTGAGGGTGTTGCTGCTAGCCGTGCTGAGCCCTGGGCAGGAGTTGGCTGTCCTCCTCAGCGTCCCAAACGTGGTAGGTCAGGTGCTCAGCACGTAGTGCCCTATCTGCCATGTGCAAAATGAGGAGGCTGAGCTGGTGGTGCCAGCAAGGGGTGGGGCATAAGCCTCCCCAGCATGTCCCAGGTTGCCAGGGAACACGGGGTTTCCCCATGCCCAGTCCAGATGCACGGGACTCTGCCAGGTCCTAATTGGTGCCTCCAGGCCACAGCACATGGCCACCCCATAAAATCTGTTGACAAGAAACTGGATGGGGTCGGCTGCCTGGGGCGCTCTCCACCCTGGATACTCCACAGCCCACCCTAGCGGGACCCTCAGGTACACCAGGTAGCTGCTGTTCTTTCTGGGTGCACAGCCACAGCACCTAGCCTTGGGGCCTTAGCCATGCCCTGCCAATGTGACCTGGAACTCCCTCCATGTCTCTTTATTCCCCTCCTGTCCCCAGACATCGGTTCTCAGTTCTGTTGGGATCCCCCAAAGTTTGGGGTCCCTGCATCTTCTGAATCATCTGGGCCTAGACAGCACCCCCATGCCCTGGATGTGCCCCACCGTGTCCTGCCCTGACCCCTGCCAAGTTTCTGGGAAGACCTTGGTTCTCCGGACCCTCTGCAGATCAAAGCCACTTGCCGTCCGGGCTCCAGCTAGGAGCATCTGAGCTGCCGTCCACGCCTACAGAGCTGGTACAGTGATCCCCAGACACAACACCCCGCCCTTGCTGTCCTCCGCTGACCCAGCCAAGCCCTGGCTCAGCCGCCCTCACCCCCAGCATCATTGCCGCCACTGGCCCTTGCCCCCTGTGGCTGTGCAGGCATGGCTGCGCTCGCTGTGTCTGGAGGCACATGCCGTCTCAAGCCTGACCCCAGTCCGCTTTCCCACCTGTAGCTAACAGCAGGTGCACTGGCCAGGCTGCTCACCTCTGACACCCAGGCCGTGACTGCCTGCAGTGACGTAGTCCTCAGAGGTGACCACACCTCTCGGCCCTGGCCTGGCCCGGTGTGGTGGGCTGTCTCGGGCCCTGCCCGCAGTCTCCTGTGACAGTGCCTGATCTTGATGGCAGAGGCTGAGAGCGTCCACCTTCCAGCCAGGAAAGTGATGGCATCCCCTGGCCGGCTCTGGCTTCCTCATTTACCCCTCCATTTCTGAGCTCAAAAGGACAGGCAGGTGGCCGGCCGCAGAGGTGAGACTGCCCAGAGGGAGCCAAGAGATGGTGAGGGCTCAGCCACAGCGGGCGATGAACGGCTCTGCGCTTTATTCTCTCCCCAGCTGGAAGAGCTGGACAAGGAGGCTGAAAGTGCTGTGCTGGCTTCTCTTCTTGGCTCTGGGGCGAGCACAGGACTGGCATTGTGGCTGGCCCACCTCACCCAGGCATCTAGGGCCCTGACTCCGGCTGGCCCGTGTGACGGCTCCCAGCAGACCTGCATGGCTGGGCCTTGGCAATCTGTGTGTTGCTGTTTCTCATTTCACACCAAGAGGCTCAGAGTGGCAAGCAGACAGCTCTGGGTCACACAGCAGACACGTGCAGAACTGGAGGCCCAGGGCACAGATTGTTTTCTGTGCTTTTCTGTCGCGTTTAAAAGCCTCTTGAGCGGTGCAGGCTGCCCACCCTGGATGGCTGACATCATTGGGACAGTGGGCATGGCCTGTTGCATCACTGTGGCCACAGCCCAGCCCCCTGGGGAGGGGCACGGAGGCAGCCGTGGAAAGTCATGAATGAGTGAATACAAAGCCTCCCTCCTCCTGGGAGTACCTGCTCTCCGCAGTTGGGGGTGAGCAGAGGCTGGAGTTGGGGTGACTGCTTCTTGTGGTGGGACAATGGGACTTCTAGAGCAGCCTCGGGCAAGCTCCATGTGACCAGGCGTCCGCTGCAGGCAGGCTGCTTCCCTACCCAGGGCCACTGAGCTAGGAGCCTGGGCTGCCAGGTGTCTGCTCCAGGCAGGCCAATTCCCTACCCAGGACTGCCGAGCCAGGAGGCCAGGCTGGCTGTGGCCAGGCTCCTCCAGGGCCAGCCCAGGCCCAGCAGGGGTCTGTGCCAGAGGCCAGCAGTGGCTTGGACTGACTGGTGACCCCTGGCTTGTTACGCTGGAGGAATAATGGGCAGTAGTGGTCGGAGCCTCCCTGGGGGGGTGGGGCTGAGTAGGAAGGCTAGCTTCCCCATCCACAGCCATCCACAGCCATCCACAGCCATCCACAGCCATCAGGACACCCTGGGATCGTGATGAGTCCACTGTCCCCGGGCTCTGGGCAGCAGATCCAAGCTTTGTCCTCTCCAGCCCTTTCAGGAGCCACGGCCCTACAGCCACGGCCAGGGACCAAGTCCACTACTCAGCCACACTGAGCCGCTACTGGTAGTGGCTACAAGTCCATCTCTTCACGCTCCCCCAGCTCAGAGCCTGGGAACCTGGGGATGCAGTGACGTCACCTCGGGACCTTCTCTGCCCTCCTCCTGGCTTATGGGGGCACCAGAACCGAGGGGCTGGGCCCAGCAGGGTCAGCTCTAACTTGTGTTCCTCCCAACCTGGGTTCTAGATCACCCAGGAACCCGCAGTGTAGATGCTGACTTGTGTGTGTGCGTCCGTCACTGGTGCTATCCTTGGAAAGCAGGGAGCAGACTGGCCCCGATCGTCTCTAAGAATGGGCCACTCTCTCCCCAGTGCCTGCCCTGTCACTCTCTCCCAGCTGCCACAGCTGGGGCTGTTCCTCCAGATGGTGATGCTGCTGGCACCAGCCCTGCCCCTGGAGGCCTCCCCTCCTGCCCAGCTGGGTCCTGCAGGGCGCTCCCAGCACTGGTCACTCAGCAGCCTGTTCCTCAAGGAGGAGCGACAGCCACACCAAGTACCCACTGTGTGCTCCGTATCCCTGAAGGTGCACCTGCCCCCACGGCAGACCAGCACCCGCACGTCACACAGTGGGGACAGATGGGCAAAGGCCGCAACACTGACTCAGCATGCACAAAGGCGGCATCTCTCCTCACAGCTGGCGAGGCTCGGTCGTGTGCCCCGAGATGCTGGCAGCAGCTGGCTGCACGGCAGGGCATGGGGTCCTTCCACTCCCCCGCACATGCCAGGGAGGGTGGCAGGATGCTGGTGTCCCCAGCTATTCTTAGCTCTTCACGGCCCAGGCTCCTGCGCCAGCAAGGTCACCCTCCTGTCGCTGAGAGAGAAGTGACTCACTCTGGGCTGCTCCCGGAGGCGGGACAATAGTCCGAGGGCCAGGGTGGGCAGCGCGGCAGGCGCTGAGCTCCGAGGCCCCGCGCTGGTCATGGGCGGACTCCGCCATTGCATCCTCGTTCCCCAGCAGGTGCCAAGGGCCTGGCTGAGCATCTGTGGCCCCACGGGTTCCCGGCACAGAAGAAGGGCCTCGGTAACACACGCTGACCACAGTGGGGTTACAGAGGAGTGGACGGAGGGAGGCAATGGCACACAGCCAGACGACTGTGGTCACCAGTGGAGTGATCCTGGGCTCAGGAGAGGGCGGGGTGGGGGACCGTAGGCCTGGGGCAGGGAGGTAGTGGGAGGAGGGCTGTATTCCAGTGAGAACCTCTGACTATATTGATTTGGTGTGGGCAAGATGCAGAAAGAGCAAGGGTAAGGCCTTCTGGGATGACCTTTGCCCCTGGTGGGGTTGTTCCTGGCTCCTCATGCCAGCCTTTGACCCCGCCCTTTGCCCTCTGATACAGCGCTCCCTGCAGCCCCTGTCTGGCCTAGCACCCTTCCCCCTGTTCCACCACAAAACACAAGGCCCGCCACCTGTCTGTTCCCAGCCCAGACCCTGGGCATCCCCTCCCAGCCCATCCCGTGCCACCAGTGAGGACGGAATGCGTTAAATGGGCTCGTCGGGAACTGCAAAGCACCATGCCCCTTGGTGATGGGAAACTCAGGGGCGCTGTGGTGTCCTTGTCCGGCCACGTGCTCCTGTCAGCCTGTCCAGCTGCCCGTCAACCCTGCTTGCCCTCCTGGCTCCGTGAACTAGCTCGCCCCTCATGCATTCACCCAGCTGCCAGCCACTCCCTGCTCACACATCTGCGCACCTGTCCTTGCCCACCTGTCAGCTGGGATGCAGACGCTGAAACTCGTACCTGATGTGGGCCCTCGTGGTGCAGTTGGTAAAGTCATCAGCTGTTAAAACAGGCTCAGGACTGAAGGTCAAAGGGCAACAGTAAAGGGAGGGCTGGACCCAGCCAGGGGTGGGGCCACGGCTTCCTGGAGGAGAGGCACTTCTGCCTCTGGTTTCCCAGGGCCCTCCTTGCAGGATCAGGTGCCAGGGCCACTGCTGTTCCACCCGCTGTTCCTCTGTCCCCTCTACAAGCCTTATTTTGTGTTTGCTCTGGGATTTCACATGTCATTGCATCGGAATGACTTCTTCCAGGGGGGAGGCAGAGTTGAGGGATGTGGGGGTTGCATTTGAAGAGCTGTAGGCAGGAGCCGGCGGTGCCTGGGGGGGAGCAGTGATGCCCAGCGGCACACTGGCTAGGCCCTGTGCTGGGCATCCCAGGATGGCTTCCCATAACCAGGCCTGCTAGAGCCCCCCCACCCCACACATGGAGGCCGGCCCCAGGCCGGGCCCAGCCAGGGTGCAGCCACCGCAGAGCCAGGCCCAGCCCTCAGGGAATTCTGGGCAGTGACAGACCCACACAGGTGCCCAGGAGCCCAGAGGAAGTGGCCCCCAGACTGGGGTCCAAGGATGGCTTCCGGGAGGAGGCAGGGCAGTGGGTGCTTAGAGATAACAAGGAGATAGAGCCGGTCAGTCAGTCTGGGAGAGGGCCAGAGTGGGCGGCAGGGCGGCATTTTCAGAACAGGTGGAAGATGCAGCGGTGTAGGTGGGCCCGTGGCAGCAGGTGGCGCCACAGACCCTACAAGAGATGCACCCTCCTGCAGGGTGCAGGGGTCACAGAAGGGCGTGGGGCAGGAGGGCAGCACTGTCCAATTTGGGCATCCCTTGTTATCTCTGGCTCCATCTGAAGGCATCCCCTTCCCCGGGGCCAGAGGACAGAGTCGGGGTACTGACTGGTTCCTGCACAGGACCAGGTGGGAGGCACCACTGAGAGCTGTGGGACTCACGGGGGCCGTGCCCAGAGACAGCCCACCCGGAGACTGCTGCAAGCCCCTGCTGCCAAGTGGAGCTCCGACCACCTGGTTCCTGCTTGGGCTTCAGAGCGGCCTCTGTCAGAGCCGACGAGCCTCAGCCCTACAGCCTGTTCCTGGAGGGCCCCGGTGTTCTCGCACACAGCCGGCATCCTTCCTTGTCCACTCTCACTGGCCCACTGTGTCTCCTGCCCTCTGTGCCTTGCCATGCTTGGCCTCAGCATGTCCAGGTGTCCTGTAGGACCTCGGCTCTGCTGATGCGGATGATATCCCGTGATGACCACAGGCAGGCACCTCCGGCCCCGCCTTTTCTACCTGCAGGTTTGGATTTGACTGCATCCATGGGCACACGGTGTCCCCCACAGACGGCTGCCAAGAGTGACCATGCCAACCTTGGCGGGCGGGGATGCCGAGCAGGTCACACTGCAGCAAGGGTCCTCGGGCTGAGCGGCAGGCCCAGAGCAGTCCCTACCACGTGCCCAGCTTTGTGCTGTGGTCCCAAGGGAGCTGATCTCTGCCAGGGAGGAGCTGTGGGCTCCATTTCAAAGCTGAGAACAGCGAGGCCCTGGGACCCATCTGCTGCTAAGAGGCAGGCCTGTAGTCAGCTTCCGCCTGTGGCCTTGGAACGGGCCAGGAGGGCAATGAAGCAGTGCCTTGCTGGGTGGCCTTGGGCAAGCGGCTGGCCACCTTGGTCCTTGGTTTCCCCACTTGCAGGTGGGGTTTGCACTGGTGGCTCTGGTGCATACAGCAGGCCATGGTCTGGGGTCACATCCAGGGGTGCCAAGATACTCCCATAATGCTTTGCAGCAGAGGGCAGCCCGCCCTCCCTGACAGGCTAGCTTGAAGAGATGCTGTGGTGAAATGTGGGTAGGACAGACAGCAGAGGGCTGGTGTCGCACCTGGCTGGGATCCCTGGGGAGAAGGCTGGACTAGAGAGGTCCCGCACTTGTACAACTGACACCTGCCAGGACGCACACCCCTTCCTGGCTGTGCGACCGTGGCAAGGGGCTTAACCTCACTGACCCTCCGTGCCCACAGCTAAGATGGTGTGAGATCCAAGCATGCCTGGGCTCCGGGCAGGCTGCAGGGGCTCCCCAAGAGAGCCCTGCAAATCTGGCTGGAGGCCCCCGGCTTGCTTTCCCTCGGCTTGTCTGGTGGCCGCCTGGGCTGTGTCCCTGGCCCAGCTGCCTCTCCCAGCCCATCCTGCAGGTCTCCGCACTGCCGCTCTTTGGCCCTGCCCCAACGTGGAAGTTGCTCAGCAAGTGAGCAGGGAGCAGGCTGGGGCCGGGGGTGCAGCCGTCGGGGGGCCCTTTGGCTCCTCTGTCCGCCCTGCCCCTGGCCGGCTTCCCCGCAGCCCCAGCAGCCCCCGGAAACCACCGCCAAAGGCCGTTCATTCTGTGCTTCACAGAAACATGAGATTTTGCAATAACGAAGGTTGCTGGGCGAGGCCAACCCAAACAATTCATGGTATTGAGAAAGGTCACGCAGTGAAATCAAAGAGGTTTGGAATTCCAGCGAGGGCTGTGGGGCCTGAGCTGCTGAGCCCCCTGGCCTCCCAGCGCGTGGGTGGACCCCAGCCGAGCCAGCAAAGCCCAGCCTGCCCCACGCGTGGAGCTGGTGGGGAAATCAAGCCAGACAGGCTTCTGTTCCAAAGCTTCCAGCTTGCTGCTTCAAGGCCAACGGCAGGGCCTAGGGACAACCTGGGCCAGCCAGCCAGAAGTGGCACATCACCTCACCTCTCTGTGCCTGCTCTGGAGTCAAACTGCACAGAAGTGGCTCCTCGGGTGGCTGGGGGGTGTGTGCAGGCATGTGTGCACTCACTCGCACACAGACACACACACTCCAAGTGCCTCGCCTGGGAGGGGCAGAGAAAGGCGGGGAGGCACACGCTGGCCCCAAGCAGCCGCAGCCTTGGGACGGGAAGGGGATCTGTCCTGGCTGACTGGCTGGCTGGCTCCGACCCAGGAATGGGTAGGGGGATCCACCTTGCTTCCCAGGACCAGGTTTCCAAGGAGGAGGCGCCTAGGGGTCCTCTCAGACTCCTGCCTCCTGGGCTGCTGTGTGGCCTTGGGCTTCAGCCCTGACCTCTCTGGTCACGCCTGGCCCTCATGAGCTCCAAGAAGGAAGAGCCTGCCTCCACCCTGCACCAGGGAGCCAGAGCCCTCTGCATGTGCCAGGGAGCTTGGTGGCTGTTACTCCAAGGCCTGCTGCGGTGGCTGCTGCGGGGCTGGGCGGGAATTGGGCCTGTTGCTGGGAGCTTGGCTCAGTGCATCCATCTGTAGTGCCTTCATCCCAGTTGTCTGAACAGGCCCAGTTCCGTGAGAGCCACCAGCTGTGGATTGTGTCAACCGCCTGCCAGCCCTGGGGGGGAGGTAAAGATGTGCATGGACGATGTGAAGGGGGCTTCCCCGCCCCGCTCCTCCTGGCTCCCTGCTGCCTCCTGGGGGCTGGGCTTGGGGCATCTCAGTTCCAGTCTGGGCAGGCCCAGGGCCCTGGCCGCCAGCCACCTCACACTGAGGGGACCTTTAAAGCGCATCAGCCTGTCCAGCTTCCGGGTGCCCTGCCTGGGACTCGGCCTGCTCAGTTCTCCTGGCTCTATAGGCCAGAGGTTGGAGCTGGGGTCGATCTTGACCCAGCCACATGGCTCGGGCCTTGCTGGAGGCTAGGAGAGGACCCGGCTTCCCACAGTCAGATGGTGGGCAGTGCTGGGATGAAGGAGGGTGGCCCTGGCTCCCAGCTAAGCTGCCCTCAGCGCCTCCCCACGGGGGCCCTGGGCACATCCACTCCCCAGCTAGCCCAGCCTCCCCTCGGGGGGCCTCCTGGACGCCTGCTGCCAGTGGCCACAGCAAACTCGGGTATCAGGTATCGAGGCCATGTGAACCAGAGGGTCAGAGCCAAACTTGCAGTCTCCTCCCTACGGAACCCAGCCTCAGTGCGGCTCCCAGCTGGAAGCCGCTGGGCAATCCTGCCTCCCAGGCCACCTGCCCCCAGAGCCACCGGGCTGTGACACAGGGCTCTTGAGGAGGTAGAGAATAGCTGCCACTATCTGGCCCCTTCCAGCGACACACGTACAGGGTGGCTGTGGCCCTCCGAGGGGGTGGGGGCTGGGGCGCTTCCCCCGTCTCCGGGGCTTTGGTGAGTGTCCCCACCCACTGGCCAAGCAGGTGGGTGAGCTTAGCACCCTCCAGTGTGCCACCTCACGGGCCAGGGCTGCAGCACCGTGGAGGCAGAGAAGCTGGTTTTGCCCAGCCTCAGCTGACCATCACCAAGAGCTGAACGGCCATGTGGGCTAGGATGACTTTGGGGTAGCCTACGTCTGAGCCCTGGGTCTGGGAAGAGAGGGGTGGACCCCTAAACTCTTGATGTGGGAGAAGCGAAGAAGCACTCCCCAAGGGATGCCAGGGGGCCAGCGGGCCGCCCCACACCCTCCTCCCCGGGGCGGGGGAGGTGTCTCTCGGAAGGGGGGGAGTCACCTCTCGGAGGAGGGGGCCACGGCTGGAGCGGCAGGCCTCGTGGCCCAGCTTCTAATTAAATGGGAGCAGCTTTACCGTGGCAGGTGATCTGCCCGGGAAGCCTGGCTTTAAATTTAGCTTCCTCCCCAGCCAGCCCTTTGAGAAGGCTGCTCATGAGTCATGCGCCAGGCCGTCCTGGCGAGGCCGGCTTTGCGGGGGAGCAGGCCTCCCAAAGGCAGAGATAGTAAACAGGGCTGGGGACCAGGACGGGGCGGCATGCACACCGCAGGTGCTCAGAGGCCGGTGGGGGGTGGGAGTCTGCCCTGAGGGTCCAAGCCATCACCTCTGCAGAGATGGCCTCAGCCCAGCGACCCGTGGTGGGCCCAGTTCACATGTTCCCACTTACCCGATCCTCCAGCACCCCGGTGCCCGGACCGCACCGCACCCTGCTCCGGCCGACGCCTGGCAAGGTGTGGAGAAGCACTGCACTGCTCCCCCATCCCCAAAGACATGTTCATCTTACTCCTTGGAATCGGTACGCGTTGCCTTATATGGCAAGAAGGGAGAGGACTCTGCAGCCCGCTTTGCAGCCAGACAGTGGAGACGGGGTCAGCCCTCTGTAATCCACGGGTGGGGGAGAGGGAGGCAGGGGGCGCTGCGGAACCAAGAGCAGCACTTGAAAGACCCCGGTGGGTCTGGCAGCCCCCGGGGACAGGGAGTGGCAGGGAAGGATCCTCCTGGGTCCACGTGGGGGGGGGGGACCCGCAGGGGGCACGGTCCTGTTGATCAGTGATGCTGCTCCAAAGAGGGACAGCGTCCTGCATTTCTGGCCTCGGTGACAGCAAGAGAGAGAGAGAGATTGAAAAGTGTGGTTTCAGGCCTAGCCTAAGTCGTCTGATTCTAAAAACCTCACATTTCCCACCTGCCATGGGCCTCCTGGTACCGGGGATCCCTTAAGAGCTGGAAGTTTGCTGACTTCCAGGTGGCAGACAGCAGGGTTGACAGAGCCATCATTTATCTTTGCATGGCCCCTTGAGGCTGTGCCCATTTTCCAGATGGGGAAGACTGAGGTAACTGAAGACAGAGCAGTTTTATGTGAGGTGGGGGAGCATGCGCTACAGGGCAGCCCAGCACACAGCAGGTGCACCACTGGCATGGCCTGGCAGGGGCCTGGAGGAGGGGTTTCACAGCCCTGCTGTCAGCCTCTCCCCATCTCAGAGCAGGAAGGGAGCCAGCTGATGCGGCCCCCACGCAGGCCTCTCACGCGAGATGTGTTCGACCACCGCACACACACATGTGCCCGCACAGCACAGCACACCCGCGGGGGACTCCAGACGCTCGTGCCCAGGAAAGGGAGATGCCTGCTTCTTCCACCCACCCACGCATGCCGACACACGCATCCCAGCTCCGCCACACACACCACACGCACCCCACCATTCACACGCCACACACACCCTTCACGGCAGCTGTGACCCCTCCCTCTGTGCCCACCTCCCCTCCCCCCTTGCACCTCCTGGTGCTGACGGCCCCTCCCAGCACAGCCCCACCTCCCACCACCTGTTCCTGGCCCTCTGGGCCTCCTGGTAGGTGGGATGCTACCCGCCCCCCAGGGTAGGCACCCCATGCAACCTGACTCCCAGCTCAGGGCCTGCTGTTTGCCAGCTAGGGACAGGGGCTACGTGCCTGCCCACCTGCCTACTGTTCTCTCAGCCTGACCATACCAGTCCCTGCCTTTGCCACCTCAGAGCCCGCCCTGCACAGACGCAAACCCTGCCAGCCAGGGGGCTCGTGCCCTCACACCAGGCTTGTCCTCTGCTGGCCTGACCCTCCTGGACCACGGCCTGACTCCCCACCCTACAACCCCCCCCCCATCATCTCATGCTGACCTGCAGAACGAGGTTGGCTGGCTTCGGGATCTGTCAGCTGGGCAGGGAGATTGAGTCCGGCCTCACACGACCTCCAGGCAACCAGGTGTCTTACAGCTCATCTCCCAGGAACCAGCCCCATCCCCTCTCCTTCTTACTGGGCAGCACCTGGTTCACAGGTACCAACACTTATTCGGGTCACACTGCAGCTGAGGAGCCAGGCCTCAGCCTAGCTCCAGCTGCCACCCAGGCCGCGACCCTGCCATCCTCACGCACGCTGGCACGCCCCCTTCACCTCAAGCAGAAGGAGTCTTAGGGAAGCCCAGTCCGAAGGGCACTGGACGCCAGAGCCCGACCAGAGCGGGAGCCTGCCCAGCCCGGGGGCTTGTTTCCCTGTCTGCCACACGGGGTCCGTGCTCTCCCCTCGCTCAGTCCGTCCAGGACAGCTGCCCCCAGGCTGGACGACTGGCCCTGCTGGCGTGCAAGGGAGCCCACGGAGGCTGCAGCCGGGCAAGGTCAGGGCCACGGCCTCATGGCTCCGGGAGGCCCGAGCCTTAGAGGCGGCAGGAGGAGGGAAAAGGGGAATGAGAGGAAGGAAAAGAGAAAGTAAGAGGCAGCGGGGACAGGATGAGGCAGAGCGGGATCGCCCAGGAAACAATTAAGCGCGGCAGGCACGAGGAGGGAGCGAGAGCGAGCGCGCGAGCCGAGGGAGACCGCGACGGGGAGAGATAAGGAGAGAGCGAGGGGGAGGGAGGCAGGCGAGGGGCGCTCGCTCGCTCGCTCGCTCGCTCTCCCTCCGGCTCGCGGCGAGGCCAGGCCGGCGGGGCGCCGCGCGCGCGGACAGGGGGCGGCAGAGGGCGCGGAGCGCGCGGCGAGCGGCAAAGAGTGGAGCGGGCGGCGGCGAGCGCAGGGCCCGGCGAGCGCAGGGCCCGGCGAGCAGGAGCGTGGGGGCGCGGGGCGCGGCGCGGGGCGCGGGGCTGGCGGCCGGCCGGGCGGCGCGGGCGGCCGAGTAGCCGCGGCGACGCGGGGCATGCGGCCGGCCGCGGGACCACGAGCCCGAGCGGCGGCAGCCCTAGCGCAGCGCCGCGCCCGGCGCGCCTAGGAGCGGGCCCCTTCCGGGCGCCGGCCCCGGAACCCCGGAGCCCCCCGAGTCCCGGCGGCCCCCGGAACCGGGACAACTGTTGCGGCGGCGAGGGCACCGCGGGGGCGTAGGCGGCCCCCGCGCCCCAGCAGGCGGCTCCCGCGGGCGCCGGTTCCCGGCGGCGGAGCTAGGAACCAGGAGCGAACGAGAGAGCGGCGGGCACCAGGTGAGCTGCGCCCCGGGCGAGCCGGAGGGGGGGTGTTGCACGGGGGAGGGGCGCCCCCGGGCCGGGGTCCGAGCTCTCGGGAAAAGGGGCCGGCCGGAAGCTTGAGACGAAGGAGGGTCCCGGCGAGTCAGGGGGCGGGGTCTGCGGTTCTAGGGCTCGGGAGAAGGGGTGCGGGCGCACTGGGAGAAGAGGGTAAGGTGCATTGTTGGGGAGGAGGGGTGTCCGGGAGCTTTAGAAAGGGGCCAGAGCCGACTAGAGGAGGTCTGGGAGCAGGGACCGTGCGGGACAGCCCTGCCCTGGCTTTGGGGTGCATGCCAGGGCTCACCAAGCTTGGGAGCGCTGGACGCCGAAGAGCAGGGGACCTGGCCCCCGTGGAGCAGTCCCGGGCGCAGCAGCTGGGACGCGGTGACCAGAATCGGCGTCCGATTGGGGACGCGCTTCCAAGACCTAGTCAGGAGCGCAGCGAGCCTGAAGCTCTGAACGCGCTGCACAGGGTTCCCGAGCCACTCTGCCGTCCCGGCAGATTCCGGGGGTCCCAGATGGGCGGCGCGGTGGATGGGAAAGGCCCCCCTTCCAAGTGCGTACCCCTGGGTCCCAGCCCACCACGTGCTGGCGCGGAGCCGCCGCCGCCGCCTCCGCCTCCGCCTCCCAGGGCCGGATCAATATTGATCCCGCGCACGGGGCTGGGCGGCCCGGGGCCTCGGAACCTCATTAGCGCCAGTGGTTACCATGGTAACGATACCCCAAGCGCCTTTGGGTTATATTTATTTTAATTATTATTATTAGCATTATTAGCATTAGTATTTGTAACTCAGCCAGAAGGGAAACGGAGGGAGAGTGTCCTGTTGCCTCTTTAGGAAGAACTGGGGAGCCCCTGCCTGTGCTCGCGGGGCCAGGCTGGCAGGGGGCGGGGTCACCTGCCAGCTGGCCCCTCCGGGGCATGGGTCGAGAGCAGGGAGTTATATAATCTGCTGGGAGAGAGGGTGAGCGCCTCTCCGAGGCTGCCCCGCCTCTCAGCCTTCCGAGCCCTCTGCTTTGCGACTGCTCTGGCCTGGGGAACCCCAGCTCTGGCTGTGGGGAACAGAAGGGGCCAGGAATCCAGGGATGGCCTTCGCCCGCCCCCCCTTCCCTGGTTGTGTGACCTTGAGCCAGGCTCCTGACTACTTGGGGCCTCCTGTCCTGGTCCATGGGGTGGACAGGACCGCTGCCATGACAGGAGAGGCCCAGCTGGGTGCTGGGGGCCTCTGAGGCCCTGGGCAGCTGCCTGTCTTTCTGCAGCAGGAAGGGCTGTGCTGCCCGAGGGACCGTGGGCGGCCTTCTTGTGGCACCTGCACTGGGCTGTGGTGGGGAGGCTGTCGGGGGGGGAGGTCAGCCCTGTAGGGACACACCAGCGGGCAATCCCCTGCCCGTAGTCCCTGTCCTGGCCTGATTCTGACCACACACCTGTGGCCGGGATCAGGGCAGGCAGTGAGCCTTGGCTGGGGGTGTCCTTCCGAGCCAGCGTCTCAGCCGTGGAAGCCCACCCTGCCAGGCAGGTTTCTGGGAAGGCCGAGCCTGCAGCCAAGCATGCCTGGAAAGTTGTCCAGCGCTGGTGGCTCGAGCTGAAGCCTGTCCGTGTCACACAGAGTCCCCAGCACCGGGGCACGGCAGGGAGGGACGCGTCACACAGAGTCCCCAGCACCGGGGCACGGCAGGGAGGGACGCGGTCCGTGTGTGTGTGTGTGTGTGTGTGTGTGTGTGTGTGTGTGTGTCCACCCAACCCCTGGGTCGCCTGCCCTGGAGCTCATCAGGGCAGCTGGGCAGGCTGGGAGGGGTAGGCACCACTGGGGGTTGTTGGACAGAACATGGGAGCCACCTCAGGCACCTCCTTGTCACCTGTCACATGGGTGTCCTTCATCCTCCAGTCCCCAGCTTCAGTGAACCCTGGGTCTTGCGGCTGCTGCTGGAGGGCCTGCCCTGGGTAGTTCCCCACGAGGCAGATGAAGAAATGGGGCTGGGGCAGGCCGTGGGGAGGGAGTGACGCATGGAGCTGGGCAGGGGTTGGGCTGCGAAGATCTAGTCCAGAGAGGCCCGGAGGAGGGAGAGGTACTGCCTAGGTGCCCCAGGCAGATGCTGCGGAGGCCAAATGCAGATGCCTGAGCGTGGCACCTGTCTGCCGGAGGGCTGGAAGGTGGGGCTGCAGTGGAGGGGTTGGGGAGGACACTGAGTGGAGGCGCCAGCTCCCCGAGTCCCGGGGAGGGAAGGCTGTGGCTGAGAGTGGAGGAAGAGACAGTCTGGGCCAAGGAGTTAGCCGTGGTCTCAGGGCAGCCACCACCCTGTGCTAGCCCCGTGTCCTCACTGGTCACACTGTGGGAGAGGGGAGGTCAGAGAGGGACTTGGAGTCTGGCCACTCGCTCCTCCCAATCTGTGGACACAGGCTGTGTCTGCGCAGCAGGGGTTTGCTGCTGGCAGTAAAGGCCCCAGGCTGTCTGGGAGCTGGGCACCTACTGCTGCTCAGAGACAGAGAGAGAAAGAGGATCGGACCTCTCCTGGGCCAACCCTGTCCCACCCACTTCCTGGGGCCAGCCCAGAGCGTGGCATTCTGAGGCCACACAGGCTTGGCACACCCCAGCCACACCTCCCGGAGACATCGTGCAAGGTCTGTCTCACTCCGCACAGGAGCTGGCAGGGGGAGGAGTCCCCAAGCACCCACAGTCCTCAATTCCTTCCGGGGATCCCTCTGCCATATGGGACCTGCCTGCAGGGGGAGACCCCGAGCCCACTCAGGCCCAGCCCCAGCCTTGGCATGACTGGGCTGGGCGGTTGGATGGGTGAGTGACTCCTGCAGCAATGGCTGTGGTGCCCCAGCCCCGCCTGTGCCCTGGCCTGGCGCAGCAGGTAGGGGCTGCATCTCAAGCATCTGGGACACCCTGCTCTGGCCATCTGGATTGCCTGCTCTCTGCAACCCCCACCACCCCAACCGTGGGTTCTCTCTCTTAGCAACTGGAGGTGAAGGATCCAGGTTCCACCCAAAGTTCCAGACAGAAAGGGGTGGGTGCTGTGAGGGACATGGGAGGGAACCCCCAGAGGCGCTGCTGGATGGGAGTTGAGGTTTATCTGCTTCCTGTGAGGAGGGGGACTTGAGGCCAGGGGGCAGGGTGTGGGAGGGGACTCATAGAAGCTCCAGGTCACAGTGTGGATTGGCCAGACTGGGTAGACACCGCCCAGAGGCCCAGCGAGGCTGGCAGGAGGCAGGCCGAGCAGCCCCCAGGTGCGCCCTGTGCAGCTGGCCTCAGCACCTGTTCCCTGCTGGTCTGGTGGGTGCCTGCCCTCCCGGCTTGCCTACGTCAGCATGAGCCGAGGGTTCCCCCTCCCCAGGGCCGGGCAGCCCCTCTGGCAGCCCCTGCAGGCTGCGGTGCCGCCGTAGTGGAGAAATGAAGAAATAAAGCGTGTGTTTCCCAGTTGACACCCATTTAACACTGAATGAAGTCTTGGTGGTTCTCCGCAGAGCCCTGTGTACGGGAAAGCACATTTTTTAAACCTCACACTTGCCTGAAAAATAAGACAAAGCGTGCTCTTCAGCTGCAGGCCGTGTAAGCTGCTTATTCCAGCCCAGCTAGACCCCAGGGACCACTGGCCGCTGTGGAGTGGGGAGGGCCGGCCGTGCCATCGGGCTGGCAAAGTTTGTCTCCCGCGCCAGACTCCAGTTCCTTGCCGCATGAGGGGCTCCAAATAAAGTGCTGTTTGCTGAGATATCGGCACAAATTAAAAATAAAGGCAAATCCTTCCATAATCCAGAGTGAACGTTTCCCGCGAGGCTCCCCGGGCGTGTTAGGGACTCGCGATGATTTGCTAGCTCTCCGGCTGCTTGCCTGTGTCAGCAGAGCTGTGTGCGTGCGGGCAGCAGGATTTACGGCCCCTTGCAAAACACATTTCACTTCCCTTCAGACTGTGCCTCTGCAGGCGGGTGCCCAGCCGGGCACCGAGCTTGGGTTTGAGCCCTGTCTTGCCCTGTCCCGTGTCCTATGGTCCTGAGTACAGGGGCAGAGTCAGGGCAGGGGAGCAAAAGAGCGTCGGGCATTGAGAGGCACAGCGGGCTTCCTGGAAGAGGTGCCTGCTGGGATCTTGAGGATCTGAGCGTGTTAAGTAGGCGGAGGCAGAGGGTATTCCTGGGGCATCTTCAGATTCTGTACCTTAAGCTTCCTTTGTTTCAACGTGATTTGACAGGTGCTTTGAACTTTTTTTAAAAAAGAGATTTACTTAGTTATTTGAAATTTAGACTTGGAGCTCTTCCACCTGCTGGCTCACTCCCTAGATGGCTGCAGTGGTCAGGGCTGGACCAGATGGAAGCCAGGAGCTTTTTCCAGGTCTCCCATGCAGATGCAGGGACTCAAGCACTTGGACCATCCTCTGTTGCTTTCCCAAGCACTTTAGCAGGGAGCTGGATTGGAAGTGGAGCAGCCAGGACTCAAATTAGCTCCCATATGGGATGCAAGCATCAAAGGTAGTGGCCCCTGACACGTGCTTTTATAAAACTCTGGTGTATCCGTTATTTTTTCTTCCCCACAGCAGGTCCCTGCCTTCTGCCCTCTCTGGTTATCGCTGAGCCCCTGAGATGGGTGATAAGGTGGTCAGAGGCCCTGCCAGACTGGGCTGTGGGTCAGGCATGCTCTGGGAGGCTGGGAGGGCAGGCAAGCAAGACCATCCCTTGCCGATTCTAGAGAATAAACAAAGAACCGCAGGTGGGGCTGCTGCGACCCCCAGGCCCTACCCCACCCCCATCCTCAGCTGCAGCACTGTGCTACTGGCCGTAGGTGCTGTAGCTGCTGGCTCTACACCTGGGGCGGGGGCAGCGGTGCCTCCTCTGCCCGCTGACAGGCAGGCGGCATCACCATGGCGCCCTGCAGGCCCTGGCCCGTGTCCAGCCCTCTGTCCAGCAGCGGCCGGCATGCGCCCTCCGCGATGTGCTCGCATCTTTGTTTGCACAGCTTCGGCTTCCGGGAGCAGGTCGACAGTGTAGCTAATGTGCTAGCCTCTCCCCTCTGTGTGGCCCCACCCCCAGCCTAGAACACATTCTGTAACACACTCCAGAGCCTTGGTTTCCTTGCCTGCAAAGTGGGTTGTCGTGAGAACCGAATGTGGCCGGTTTTCCTTAACTGCTTGCTTAGTATGTGACGCGCTTGGCACCACCCTGGTTGGCGGGTGCCCAGGCCCCTTCCAGAACCCAGGCAGGAGCAGACTCTGCTCACCCCAGACGCCAGGGTAGGGGCCTCCTGGGGGGCACGTGTGGAATGACTGAGTCTCCTCAGCAGGCATCACACCATGAGAGCGCCAGCGCCATGGCAACCACAGAGCCAGGGGTGCAGGAGCCAGCTCTGGCATCTGGGTGCCAATCCAGCTCTGCTGCTGAGCCGCAGCCAGCTCCAGCGATGTATCACTGGGCACCCCAGTGTCGCTGTTTTAGGAAGAGATGGTGCTGACGACAGGGATGGGTAGACGTGTGAGGACCCGAGGCAGGGACTGTCACCGCCAAGTGCCCCAGCAGCTGCACTGATGCCACTGTGTGTCCCCCAAGCTCTACCGGCACACCAGATGCCAGCCTGCACACCTACTGCCCGGGCAGCTTCAGGCACACTGCCACACCTTTCTGAGTGCCACGCAGAGGGTGGAGGCTGCCTGATTCTTGGTTAGCTCTACACCCAGCACCTGGCGCATACGGGTGTACTGTGGACG